TTTGCAAGCCAAATTTTTAAAGACAACTGATTTCATTTAAGGGACCAGTATTAAATACACTGGCCTTAAAGAAAATAATACCAGCAATAAAATACTTTGCCCAAAGAGAATAAAAATATTTTGGAATTTGATGTAAAGCATGAACAAATACATGCACTGACTTTCAGAGGAATAACCCAGGGAGATGTATAATGACTGATACAAATTACACTCATCAACAATGTAACTGGGAAGGGTTTCTTGAAGTAAGTTATATTTGGGCAAAAGAAAGGAATAGATGGCAAGAAATGCACAGGCTGCTGAAGACAGAGAAAGCAGCATCAGCAAAAGCACACAAAAGAGCGTGGTGTGAGATAGAAAGGAGAGAAGGGGTGGAGGATGAACAGGAGACAGAGAGGGTTCACAGGGCCTTGAAGAAATCCTCAAGAGGGGAAGTTTTACCCTGTCGGCAATGAAGGCTGCTAGGCAGGAAACTGGCACAGTGGTATAGAGCCTCGTGGGAAATCCATAAAAACAGAGCACATCTCTCATGTTCCTTCCTGTTGTTTACACTTAAGGGTCTCCTAAACTGTTTTTAAAAATGAATTTCTAAAATCATTTAGAATGCAATGCGGTGTATAACAAATAAATCCATAGGCAGGAGACCCACTTGGAGGTTAATGCAACAGTTCAGGCAATAGATAATAGGAACTAGATCTGAGAAACTGTTAGAAGGTGAAATCAACAGGACTTCAAGACTGATGGGAAGCTCTGGGTGAGAAAGAAAGTCTGGCAAGAGGATTAACTGACATGCACTCTGGTGTCCCCAATCCCAAAAGAGCTATAGAGAGGGGTGGGTATACTTTAGTTAGGGGCAGAGATGAGGAGGTATGTGGGAGCATCAGATAGGCTTCCTGGGAGACATGACATGAGAGCAGACGTAGTGTATCAAATATTCCTTTCATTATTGATTTTGGACCTCAAAATAAAGTGGAGCGATTCTGATGCTAGATAAATCCATGACCCTAATACCTAACATCTTTTACCATGTTACTGATGCTGCTGCTGTGTGCTGTTGAGTTGGTTCCAACTGATAGTAACTCTGTATAGGGTTTTCAAGGCTGTAAATCTTTACGGGAATGGAAAGGCTCATTTTTCTCCAGAGGAGTAGCTGGTGGATTTGAACTGCTGATCTTGTGGTTAGCAGCCCAATGCATGGCCTACTACACTACCAGGGCTCCGTTATCATGATATTATCTGAACATAAATTCACCCAAAGAGTAGTGACTTTCCTTTGTCCACATGATCTGTGCTACTTTGAGCTCAGACTTTGGGACACTAGTGTTAGCTGGTTAAGAATACATGGTTTAGAGTTAGAAAGAGTAATAATTAAGAGTAAGGATTCTGAAATAGGATATTGATTTGAATCTTAGCTTTGTCACTTTCTATCCTTGCTCAAGACATTTAACAGTCTGAGCCTCAGTTTACACATTGTAAAATAGAGACAATACTAGCACCTTCTTCAGAGGGCTATGGTTGTTTACAAGTGTTGTTAAGTCTGTTCTGACTCATAGTGACCCTATATAAGGTTTCCAAGCAGTGGCTGGTGAATTTGAACCACCGACCATGGTTAGCAGTCCAGTGCTGAACCTAGAGTGCCACATAGAGAACAATGTTGTTGTTGTCATGTGCCATCGAGTCGGAACCGACTCATAGCGACCCCATGCGAACAATGGAGGGAAGTAAATAGAATGGAAGTAAATAGAATAGCGAACAATGGAGGGAAGTAAATAGAATGATTCTGTAAAGCACTAGTTAAAGTGGCTAATTCATTGGAAATGCTTAACACACATGAAATATTCAGTCATTTTCAAATCGTGTTTCTGCTATTGACTAACACTGGGTATTCTTGGGTGAGTTACTTAACCTCTTTGATCCTCAGCTCATCATATAAGTTGGTAGTTGGGGAAGAAAGGGTTATACATATTGGTTGGTTCCTCCCTTGGTGGGAAGGACTGATGCAGTTTTAACCTTCCAGACTACAAGATACGCAGATTGATGACATTTACTAGTTTGACTTTTAATAAGTGTTTTCCAGGGGCTGATATGAACTGACTTCTTATTTAAGAAAACCTTTTAGAGAGTAGCTGGCTAGTTTGAATATTTTAACATTGTAAATAGACCTTTCCTTTGTGGATTTGCAAATCATTACTCTACTGTTCTGGAGACTGGATGTTAGACAGCTAGCCTTTCTACATTAGTAAATCCCATTTGCCCTGCAGTTGATTCTGACTCATGGTGCCCCCATGCTTCTCAGAGTGGAACTGCACTCCATAGGGTTTACAATAGCTGACATTTCAGGAGTAAATCTAGAAGCCTTGCTTCCAAGGGACCTCTGGGTTGACTAGAATCTCCAACTTTTTGGTGAGTAGCTGAGCATCTAGACATTTGTGCCACTCAGAGACTCCGATATGATCGTTGTTGAGGGTTATAGAGTCATTTTGGACTCAGAATGACCACACATGACAAAGTAGAACTACCCCATAGGGTTTTCTTGGCTGCAATCTTTACAAGAGCAGATTTACAAACTACCAGGCCATTCTCATATGGACTCACTGGATAGATTCGAACTGTCAACCCTTCTGTGAGCAGCTGAGCATTTAACCATTTGTGCCACCAAGGCTGAGATATATAATCACAGAGTGCCTCCAAAATGAAGCAACTTTCCTGTGCTAAATTATATTGGTGGTAGCGGTTGTATGCTGTTGAGTTGGTTCTGACTCATAGTGACTCTGTATAGAGTTTCCGAGGCTGTAAATCTTAACCAGAAAACATCATATTTCTCCCATAGAGCAGCTGTTAGATTTGAACTGCTGACTCTGCGGTTAGCATCCCAACTCAGTCACTACTCGTCTGTCAGTTTGTCGTACTGTGGTGGCTTGTGAGTTGCTGTAATTCTGGAAACTATGCCACTGGTATTTTAAATACCAGCAGGGCCACCCATGGTGGACAGGTTTTAGACTAAGATAGACTAGTAAGAAGGAAACACAGACTACATCTGAATATTTAGTAACTGAAAACCTCATGAATAGCAGTGGGATGATATCAGACAGCACCAGAATATTGTCAGATATAATGCTGGAAAATGAGCACCTCAGGTTGGAAGGCACTCAAAATATGACTGAGGAAGAACTATGTCCTCAAAGTAGAGTTGACTGTGATAATGCAAATGGAGTAAAGCTTTCAGGGCCTTCATTTGCTGATGGGGCACAACCTAAATGAGGAGAAACAGGTGTAAATATCCATAAAGAACATGGAATTACGAAGTATGAATCTAGGAAAATTGGAAGTTGTCAAAATTGAAATGGAACATATACACATCAATATTGTAGGCATTAGTGAGCTGAAATGGACTGACCATTCTGAATTTGACAGTCACATGGTTTACTATGGCAGAAATGACAAACTGAAGTGGAATTGCATCACATTCATCATCTCAAAGAACATTTCAAGTTCTATCTTGAAGTATAATGCTGTTTGTGATAGGATTATATCCATATACCTACAAGGAAGACCAGTTAGTGCAATTACTATTCATGTTTACCCACCAACCACTAAAGCAACTGATGATGAATTTGGAGAATTCTACCAACTTCTTCAGTCTGAAATTGATCAAACATGCAATCAATATGTATTGATAATTTCTGATGATAGGAATGCAAAGGTTGGAAACAAAGAGGAAGGATCAGTGGTTGGAAAATATGGCATTCGTGATAGAAGTGATGCTGGAGATCATGTGATAATTGCAAGACAAATGACTTGTACAATGCAAATACCTTTGATAAACAACATAAACAGAGATTGACAGATGGAACTAATCAGATAGAATACACAGAAATCAAACTGACTACACATGCGCAGAGTGAAGATTGAAAAGCTCCATACCATTAGTCAAAACAAGGCCAGGCACAGACTGTGGAACAGACCATCAATTGCTCATATGCAAGTTCAGGCTGAAGCTAGTGAAAATTATAAGTATACAAGACCCAAAATATGAACTTGAACATATCCCACCTGAATTTAGAGATTATCTCAAGAACAGATTTGATGAATTAGACACTAATGACAGAAGACTAGAAGAGTTGTGAGATGACACCAAGAACATCATACAGGAAGAAAGCTAAAGGTTATTAAGAAGACAAGAAAGAAGGAAAAGACCAAAGTGGATATCAGAAGAGACTCTGAAACTTGCTCTCCAGTGTAACGATGCTAAAGCAAATGGAAGAAATGAAGGGCAGCTCAAGAAGACAAAGTAAAATATTATAATGAAATATGGAAAGACCTGGAGCTAGAAAACATGCTCAGCATAAGCTGAGAGAACTGAAGAAATAATTCTAGCCTAGACTTGCAATAATGAAGAATTCTATGGGTAAAAATTTGAGTGGCGCAGAAAGCATCAAAAGAAGATGGAAGGAATACACAAAATCACTGTATCAAAAAGAAATGGTCAATGTTCAATCATTTCAAGAGGTAACATATGACCAAGGGCCAATGATACTGAAGGAAGAAGTCGAAGGTGCATTGAAGTCATTGGCAAAGACCAGGATCCTGGAATTGATGGGATACAAATTGAAATCTTTCATTAAACTGGAGGCACTCACTCATCTATGCTAGGAAATTTGAAAGACAGCTACCTAGCCAACTGACTGGAAGAGAGCCATATTTGTGCCCATTACAAAGAGAAGTGACTCAGTGGAATGCAGAAATCATTGGACAATATCATTAATATTGCATGCAAGTAAGATTTTGCTAAAGGTAATTTAAAAATTGCTGTAACAGTCCATTAATAGACGTTCAAGCCAGACTCAGTTGAGGACACGGAATTAGGGATATCATTGTTGATGTCAGATGGATCTTGGCAGAAAGCAAAGAATACCAGAAAGATATTTACATGTGCTTTATTGACTATACAGTGGTGGATCACGAGAAGCTATGAACAACATCGTGGAAAATGAGCATTACAGAACACTTGATTGTGCTTATATGGAACCTGTGCAAAGACTGAGATAGTTCTTTGAACAGAACAAGGGAACACTGAATGCTTTAAAATCAGGAAAGATGTGTGCCAGGGTTGTATTCTTTCACCATACTTATTCAATCTGTATGCTGAACAAATAATTTAAGATGCTGGATTATATGAAGAAGAACATGGCATCAAGATTGGAGGAAGAGTCATTAACAACCTGCGTGTTGTTACAACTTTGTTGAAAGTGAAGAGTACTTGAAATATTGATGAAGATCAAAGACCACAGCCTTCACTCTGGGTTGCACCTCAGTGTAAAGAAAACAAAAATCTTCACCACTGGACCAATAAATAACATCAAGATAAATGGAGAAAAGATTGAAGTTGTCAAAGACTTCATTTAGCTCAGATCAGCCATCAACACTCAAGGACTCAGCAGTCAAGAAATCATATGATGCATTGCATTGGGCAAATCTACTGCACCTCTTTAAAGTGTTCAAGAACAAAGATATCAGTCTTAGGACTCAGGTGCGCCTAACCATGATATTTTCAATAATCTCACATGCATGTGAAAGTTGGACAATGAATAAAGAAGACCATATGAGAATTGATGCATTTGAGTTAGGGTGTTGGAGTAGAATATTAAAAGTACTATGTGCTGTTAAAAGAACAAACAAATCTGTGTTGGAAGAAGTAAAGCCAGAATGCTCTTGGAAGCCAGGATGGCCAGATTTCGTGTCTCACATCAGGGTTCAGACATAACATCAGGTGAGACCAGTTCCTAGAGAAGGACTTCATGCTTGATAAAGTGGATGACTCCCAATGAGATGGATTGGCACAGTGGCAGTAGCTGTGGTTTCAAATGTAGCAATTTTTGTGAACTTGGTGCAGGACCAGGCATTTTGTTGTGCATAAGATTGCTAATCGTCGGTACAAACTCAACGGTACCTAACAACAACAGCCCAACTCATAACATAGTATTCTACCAGGGCTCCTTTAATTTATGTTACGTTGTTGGTGGTGATGTTTAGTGCTGTCAAGTCAGTTCTGACTCATAGCAACCCTGTATAGGGTTTCCGAGGAGCGGCTGGTGAGCTTGAACCGCTGACCCTGTGGTTCAAATGACTTTGCAGTCCAGTGCATTAACCCACAGGGCCACACCAGGATACCAAACTTATACTATATCCCAGATAAAATTCCTCTAAATCCCAAGTGTACTGTGTTGTGGAAGGCTTAAGCAGTCGTGTTAGTTGTATTCTGAGACTTCCAGATTTTAATGTGGCATAAACTTTTAGTTCTTTGTTGTATCCTTTGCTAAACAGCACCTGGTGCTGGGTTAGATTTGTGCTTCGTGGGAGACTAAGCAACAATTATGCCTTTTTGGTAGTGCAATGGTAATAATGATACAATTCTAAAGGGTTGTTGTAAGGAGTAAATTAAAAAAAAGTAAGTAAAGTAAGAATTACCTGGCTCCTGGTCAGTATATACCAACTATTATTAATTATTAATACCCAGGCACATTGGGCTTAGTTGCTGGTTCACAGGTTCTTTGTCAGAGGTGGAATAATGCTATAACTTGTTACCAAGAAGAAACATTTGATGAAGATTACGTGACTTGATGCAACATACAGAAAAGGAGCATCTACGGTGTAAGAGGTACTCCTTAAGCACAAGTTTCCCTTACCTGTTGAGAGAAACAGGATCTAGCTGACTGTTCTGTGTAACCAAAAGAAGGACCTTCAAAAACTGCAGTGGGGAGTTTGAGAACTTCCCGGAGGAACTGGTCATATCGTCCATAAACCATCACCCCACTGGAGTCAGAAATCATTGAGAAAATATCTGAAGGAAGGAAAGGGAAGGATAGTTAATCATTACACAAACATTCACCACTGTTTAAGTTCAACGTATGTACTGTAAATAATAACAAAAAATTAATAGCAATAATGTATGTTGGCTTTTTAAAATGAAAGAATAATATAAAATCTAGTTTTTATGCTGAAATATTTCTGGGAGGATGTTTTCTCTGGGAGGGTGTCTTTTTATTTGCGTGTTGGATTTTCAATCATTCAGGCACAAAGCATTAACCAGTAATTTGGATAAATTAATCTATTTTGATAAGATATAGAAATGATCTTTTTTCTTTTAAGGGCAATTGTTGTTAAGTGCCGTCGAGTCAGTTCCAACTCATAGCGACCCTGTAGAGGATTTCCTAGAAATGGCTTGTTGATTTGAAACACTGACCTTGTGGTTAGCATCCCAGTGTTTATCCAATCAACTCGTGAATAACTCAATAAGAGTTATTTTTATAAATGGGAGAAATATGCTGACCTTATATGAAAGCCACAATGAGAGTTTTACTACAAAATTGGGGTTTATGTGTTCTTATTGGTTTGGCTAACCAGCTATTTATCCATCTATATTATCACTAAAACTCATGTGCTTTAGCTTAAGATATCTGAAAAATGAAAGACACAATGGGGATAAGAATGTGACTAAAACACTTGATTAGCTTCCCACAGAAGCAAGAAACATTCTATAAATCATAGCGGCCTGGGTGGAAGCCTCTTGATTTACGAGGAAGGGTTTTTCTGACTCATGTAGTGAAGAAGCAGCTTGGCCTTGTGAATGATCAGTGAGGCAAGGCCAGGGTCCTGGAATAGTCTGCAGAGCCAGTGGCTTCACTGAACAGGTATTCTTCAGTTTCTGCCTCTATGTGCACTTAATGAATATTAATTGCATGATTTCCCAGGGTACTTTATGATTCCTCTGTGGAAATTACTATTGGGATGAGAAGGTTTGCTATTATACAGTTTATCACCATGCTAACTAGATTGTCACTAGGCCAGCACAGCTGCCAGTAGCAACTCTTGTAAGTTCAATGTGCGACCTCATTTCGGGTTTAATTTTTCAAGGTCAAAATGTAATCTGGAACATAATTCACAATAAAACATTAAAAAAAAAATTTAATCTGGAGGCATTTTGCTTTTATGCCATAGTCAGATGTTAAACAACTACAGGCTCTTACTGGATTATGTGTTGAGGTGTGAATTGACTTTCAAGTCCTGGTGTGGTACTGCAGTTTAATGCACTGGACTTTGGCAAGGTTGGTTTGAACTGCAAGATTGAAGGTTCAAACCTACCAGCCATTCTTTGGAAACCCTATACAGGGTCACTATGAGTCTAAACTAATGACAGACATCACTTAGCAACATCAACCAGGAAACGCAGTTATAATGCATTCCTGTTGTGTTCCAAATAGTTGATCAATCATGAGGCTTTGAGAAAATTTATATGTTTCATCAAATTAATTTTCACAATGTTGCTTACTTGGTGGATTTTATTTCTTAAGTTCTATTTTAACTTGTAAAAAAAAAAAATTGCCAACAGCAACAAAACAAAAACCTAAATAAACCTCTTATTTAATTCTAAATATAAAAACTTAAGAATTCCAAACAAAAAGGGAAAAGGAAATCTAGTAAAGGCAAAACTGACCCATTTATCAGAGTGGTCATTTGTTTTTTTTTTCCCACCAGGCCAGTTTGTTGTTTATAACTGGCCTTCCTGATGACCTTCTAGACTCTGGCATTCTAGGCCATGGCATATTCCAGTCAAGTAGCCTAGGCTTTTCAAATCTCCCACTGAACGAAACTAGACCATGTCTCTAATTAGAGCAAGAGTGGAAGAGATATCAGCAATGATCTTGCACAGATTTGAAGACAATTGATATTCAGCTAATATTTACTTATTTGTGTTGATTAAGTCTTCATAAGCAATAGTCAAATGAGGGCTAGGTCACTAGGATTAAAGGAGAGCAACTTTAACTGGCCACTCAGGTTTTTAAAAAAGAAATTAGAGGATTTTTAGAAAGCTCTTAAAATGCTATGTACTTAGAATAGTGCTTGGCACATAGTACCGTGTACAGAAGTGTTCGTTATTTTTATTATTAATAACATATTGTTTTATTCTGTCATCTACTTCATATGTTTAGGCTTGCCTTCCACAAATGATTGTTCTAGAAGGGTCCAGACCATATTCTAAACCATCCATGTAGTTGCTACAACTGTATATAGTGATAACTGTTTGGAGGAACTTAAAGTCATTGATTTAATCAGCTAACATGAACTTTGTTGTTAAGTGTTGTCCAGCCAGTTCCCACTCATAGTAACTCTATGCACAACAGAATGAAACACTGCCCCGTCCTGCACCATCCTCACAGTTACTACATTTGAGCCCATTGTTGTTGCCCCTGTGCCAATCCAGCTCATTGGGGGCCTTCAACTATTCTGTTGATCCTTCACTTTACCAAGCATGGTGTCCTTCTTCAGGGACTAGCTCCTCCTGACAACATACCCAAAGTGTAAGAGAGGAAGATTAGCCATCATAGCTTTTAAGGGCATCCTGACCTTAATTCTTCCAAGGCATATATGTTTGTTTTTTCTGGAAGTCCATGGTATTTTCAGTGTTCTTTGACAACACTATAATTCAAGTGCATTATTTCTTCTACAGTCTTCCTTATTCATTGTTCAGATTTCACATGTATATGAGGCAACTGAAAATGCAATAACTTGGGTCAGGCGTGCCTTAGCCCTGTAACTGACATCTTTGCTCTTTAACACCGTAAGAGGCCTTTTGCAGCAGATTTACTTAATGCAATATATCACTTGATTTCTTGACTGTGGGTTGCTTCCATGAGCATTGATTGTGGATCCGAGCAAAATGAAGTTTTTGTCAACTTCAATCTTTTCTCCCTTTATCATGATTTACTGGTCCAATAGCGAAGATTTTCATGTTCTTTATATTAAAGGCTACTCAAGCATAAATGAAGAGAGCGGTCTTTAGCAAACAGGATCAAGGCTAGTTGTAGACTTGAAGAGAAGGACAAGTATGATGCCCCCATGGATCTTCAATGAGTACACTGTGGCAGAGGCTTTGCGTGCACATAAAGTTATGGAGGAAGGTGAGATCAGACACTGAAGAACTTTGAAAGCTCTACTCAGGAGTCCAGAAGATATTCAAGATTTTAGAGCAGGACAGTAAGTTAGAAACCTGATAGTGGGGGGTAGGAGTGGAGGTAGATTGGCTAATTCAGCAACAGAAACTCAGTTTCATGGTTATTTATCATAATGCTAAACTTTTAACCAAAAAAACCCTCCCCAGAAGTTCTAGAACTAAGCTTACAGCATTGTCAGAATTCCTGGAGATCATTAAGCTATCCAGGAAGCAGAGATATAGCAAAAGTTCTTATCCATTACAACAGCAGCCAAGAAAAATTCGACAGAAAACGAGCATTAGGTTAGTTTATGTTTTGTTGTTGTTGTTCAGTGCTGTAGAGTCAGTTATGACTCATGGAGCAGCTGGTGAGCTTAAACTACTGACCTTGCAGTTCAGTGCAACCCACAGCACCACACCAAAACTCCTAATTTACGTTTGGTGGTGGTAGTGTGCCATGGAGTCAGTTCTGACTCATAGTGACCCTGCATAGGGTTTCTGAGGCCATAAATCTTTATGAGAGTAGAAAGCCTCATCTTTCTCCTGTGGAATGAATGACTGGTAGTTTTGAACTGCTGACCTTGAGGTTAGCAGCCAGACTCGTAACCACTATGCTACCAAAGCTCCTTGGTTGATGTTTAAGTGTCTGTTTTCTATAATTGCAGGAGGAAACTTTCATACCCTAGGCTATATCTATGATGCCCCGTGGAGTTACACAAGTACCACCTTGCATATTGGTTTGCTATCCCCTGAGTACTGCACATTCAGGGGCAACATAGGCTTGCTGTCTTTTTTTTTCTTTTTAAACCATATTTTAAGACATTTTTTAGATTATCAGCTTTAACATTTCTCCTTTTTTACTTTTAAAAATTTCTAAATTATTCTCATCCAATTATTCTTGCTTTCCAACAAGAGGCTAGTTGGAACAAACTAAACATCCTTCGTTCCCACGCACAAAAAGAGAAAAATTACCAAACAAGAACAGCTGGCATATTGGCTTAGAGTGATTTAGAAAAGTTTTAAGAAGGGAAAACAAATCCTTCAAACCCTGAAAAATTTCATATCCTTTCATTTTGCTTTTTCTTGTTACAAAAGCAATGCAGAAAATCATTACCTTTTATGTGTCACCATTAAATGTAAGCTAGCAAATGAAGACTATAGAAGACACCCACAATCCCTTTTACCAAGAGTCAGCCACTGCTGTCTGTGAGTATATAGCCCCATATTTTGCTCAGCTCATCAATTATTATCAGCGAATCTAGAAATGTTAATGACTAATGAGACACATTTTTGACAACCATTTTAGTGAGATTTCTCTAATAGAAATTATTTTTAGGTAAATTGTTTTCAAATGGCTTTCACCCAAGTTACTTGCTGTTGTTGTTAAGAGCCGTTGAGTCAATTCCAACCCATAGCGACCCTGTATAGGGCTTCCCAAGAGCAGCTGGTGAGCTTGAACCACCGACCTTGCAGTTCGTACGTACTTTGCAGTCTGATGCATTAGTCCACAGTGCCACACCAGGACTCCACTAAAACCATTTTCCTGGGATTACCTACACAAAGAGTGAGTCTGTAGCAGAAGAACCAGGCATACATAAGGCTGTGAGTCCAGTGCATGGATCTAGGTGAGGGGCTGTGCTATACTGCTGCTGTACTATTATTATTATTTCTACATAACTGTCATATTGCAGCTTGTGTTTGCAGTCTGGAGAAGTTGGTTTTCCTCTAAATGGGCCTCATGCATTTGTTGCTTCTTCACTGTACTGAAGAGGATTTCCTTTGGCCATTAGACAGCATGTGTGCTTAGCTTATTGATTTTGGTTTTGATGGGTGAAGGAATAATATGCAGAGGAAAGTACTATATTAGGTACACTGTTTCTTTTGTTTTGAACTTCTGGACTTGCCAGAGAACTGCAAGGGCTTTGACAATTGGTACAGATCTGATGAAAAAACTTAGTCAGATCTTGAGCTTTGTAACTGCGTAGATAATGTAATTTGCTTACCTGACATACACTGCGTTCATCTCACCTTCTTTCGTTATTGGGCCTGAATTTGTTCCTGTGCTGGGGAAAAGCAGTGGCTCTTCCCAGCCCAGATGGTGGAAGTTGATTGATTACTCCATGACCAACATGGTGAGTCTTTTCCTGTTACTAGTAATTGGTTTAATGATTGGCCTCTGAGGCCATCGTAGACAACGATCAAGACTGAAGGAGAAGTTGGCTGGTGGCCTCTGGAATGAGAATGTGAAACTGAAACTGCATTATCCCTTTTCCCCCAGGAGGACAATGAAATCCAGCACTCTGAGGAAAGCTGAGTAGAAAGATGGAGGCACGTGGGTCCTTGTTGACAAAACATTAACTTGGTGATGTTGTTAGAAGGCTCTGATGTGTCACGAAGGGCAGAGAAGAGGTTTCCTCAGTTTGTTCTCAAACATATTTTAATATGGGACTCTTATCTAGGCACTTATTGATATAACACTGGATACACTTTTTTCTTTCCCTCCCTTCCTCCCTCCCTCCCTTCCTTCTTTCATTTCTATTTTTATACAATGTGCTCAGTATAAATGGCCAACTGTGACATGACGTCAGCAGCAAGACCCTCAAGAGTTTCCTGCCCTGCCCTGCTTCACTTTGCAAAACTTCCTCTTCCCAGCCTGACCCTGAAAGAAATGTCTCTTGGATTACTATGAAACCCTCTTTTTTTGTTTGTTTTGGTTAGAGACAGTAATTCTGGCACTTTCAATTTTCCACATCTCTTAAGATGACTCCAAAGAAAATTAATCAAACACCATAAATTCTAGTTAGTCTTCTCGGGATCCTAAATTCATTCCATTTGAACATTCTGTGAAAGGGAATCCCTGGAAGTCAGAGATGTGTGGTCATGTGGGGCTTTGCTGTTCCTTCCACTTAACTATTGGTCCAGTACGATGATGCCTTATGATGAAAGTAGTACAGGGGTGCTGAAATAAGTCATTGAACTTGAAAGAGTGATTTTCTCACTTTGATATCAGAAGCAGTCTGGTTGGTGGCACTCAGTAGATTATAAATATAATTCACAAATAGGAAGTAAACAGCCATTTCATCAATACTTACTTATTGTAAAAATATTTCTATAACAAAATCCAAAGATTGATGAAGACTGTATTTCAACAACTCTCTGAGAATGAGGAAAGACACCTATGGACAAGGGGACATGGTAGAAAGAGGAGAGAACAAGATGGAAGACAGGTGGGATAAACAAAGAGAAACACAAAAAACTTACATCGTAATTTGTCCATGATCTTCCCTCCACACAATGTGGCTAAAGCCATCTTGACAGCAAATACTGAAATTTTACCATGGCCTTCCCTGTTTAATGAAAATAGGGAGAGAAAAAAAAAAAAAGGCATTTGTAATGTTTCTAATAAAGGGATTTGACATTTTTCCATTCTGTAGAAATCACAAGACACTGTAGCTATATGAATTATGTGAACCCAGCGCATTCTAAAAAAAAAAAAAAAAAAAAAAATTGGTGAAGACAATTCAGTGCGCATTTCTGAAAAAACAAACGGTCTTTTCAATGTTTATTTTCTCAAGAAAAAACAGAATCTTCTAGCTTATTTTTTATCACTTGCTCAGAGCATAAGTGGGTAGTCAGAGAATATATGATAGCCAATTATGGATTAAAATGACATCAACATGCTTTTCAGTGTGTATAAAGTAAGTTTGGTGCAGGATGACTCCATAATCTCTATAATTTATTTAAGCAAGGCTTCAGAAATCTCTCTTTTTCTCTCGCTCTCTTTTCTTGGTTAGAGAATTCCTGAACACGAACTTTAAGATAAACATGGGGACATTTAATCACATATTTATTTCCAAGCATCTTTTCCTTCCTTCAAAACAACTCTGCTTATGCGATATACTTACTTTTCAAAAACAGTTGGAAATTAAAGGGTTCAAAACTCAAATTTCTGTTTGAATAGTCATCCTCCTACCTAATTACACATGTGCTGCCAAATCTTTCTTTATTCAGGAAGTATAACTAACTAATGTGTCTTTCATAAAGATAGACTGTAAGATGTATGTTTCAGCACATGACTTTCCAGCTGGACTAAATAATTTACTTTTATATCTTTGGAATCAAAAAGCCTATCATACGAGTATTCATTTATTTGATAACTGCAACTCTTAAGAATCATCAGTAATTTTTAAAAGCAATAATGTGACTGAAGAGCATGTGAAGTCTGTGTTGACAAACGTATAGCATATTAAAACACATCACATATATGATTAAGATTCATATATAACTGATATCTTATTGTAATAATAAGATATAATAAATAATATTTATTATTAAAATGTCTTTGTTCCCTACTTGACTTCAGAGAGGGAGACTTGCTATTCCTCTTTTTTGCTGCCATCCTTAGTATTGGATCAGAAACACAGCTAGCCAGAATACAAAATTGCTTGACCTTCATGCTAATGATTCTTCTATTCATATTCCTAGGCTTAAGCAGCAGGTCAGTCTAATTATTTATTTAAAATCTCCACTTAGATACCCCATATCAAGCCATGCATGTTCAAAATGGAACTCATTAACTTTCGGAAGACTTCAGACGAACATTCCTACTAATTTGTTCTTTCCCCAACAGTCACTCTTTGGGATGTTGTAGATGAACCACTATATGCCTTTGTTGTTGTGAAGAGCTGTTGAGTCATTTCTAACTCATAGCAACACTGTATAAGGTTTCCAAGGAGCATCTGGTGGGTTTGAACCACTGACTGAGGTTAGCAGTCCAATACTTGCCCTACAGTGCCACTACTGTCATTGTTATTAAGTGCTGTTGAGTCGGTTCTGACTCATAGAGACTCTGTATAGGGTTTACAAGGAGTGTCTGATGGGCTTGAACTACCAACCTTGTGGTTACCAGCCCAGTGATTATCCTATAGTACTATACCAGGACCCCCACAGTGCCATTGGTGGTGGTGGAGGTATGCCATGGAATCAGTTCAGACTCACAGAGACCCTGCATAAGGTTTGTGAGGCTATAAGTCTTTACAGGAACAGAAAGCCTCATTTTTCTTGCTTGGAATGACTGGTAGTTTTGAACTGCTGACCTTGAGGTGAGCAGCCTAATTTATAACCACTATGATACCAGTGCCACTAGTTACCCAAAATTATATCCTGGGGAATTATCTTGAACTTCTTCTTGTTGTTAAGTGCCATCAAGTCAGTTCCCACCCACAGCGACCCTATAGGGTTTTTCTGAGGAGCAGCTGGTGAGCTTGAACCACCAACCTTGCAGTTCAAACTGACTTTACAGCCCACCGCATTAACCCACAGCACCATACCAGGACTCCCTCACTCTCCTTCAATTCACTGCTATCCTTTGAAGGACTAAACTATACTTCTCAACTGTATATGGAAAGAGCTCTGGTGGTACAGTGGGTTAAGCATTTGTCTGCTAACTGCAAGGTGGACAGTACAAACCCATCTGCTGCTCTTCAACAGAAAGATGAAGCTATCTGCTTGCAGTTTTAGAAACCCTAAGGAGCAGTTCTATCCTGTTCTATAGGGGTCCTATGAGTTGGAACTAACTTGATGCAGTGGATTGTTTTACCTCTGTGTGGAATCCATTCTCTTCTTTCCATTTTCACTGCCATGTTCTTGTGTTAGTACTGGAATAACCTCATAAATACTCTCTCTGACTGCACACTCATATAGAAAATGTTGTTTCACTTTTTAAAATCCTCATTGTCTCCTTTTGCTCACACGTAGAGTTCAAACTATTTCTCAAGGCATACATAGCTTTCTTCTCCAGTCTCACTGATGCCATTCCTATTGCAGCCTATACCAGCCGTACAACGTCATGTCTCCTGCATATGCCCAACATGATCTGTCTAGGACCTCCCTTTTCCTTTCCTCAAGATGCAGTTCAATGTCATTACTGACCTTTTCTGAAAGCAGCTCGTCTCCTAGATGAGGTGACAATCACTATCCCCTCCACTTTTACCTATGAAGTGGCACCGACACCACCAAAGGCACTTGGGATGTTTACTTGCATAACTCCATTGTGGTTCATCATACTCCATATCAACAGCCAAGACTAAGGCTTCTCAATTTTTTTGGACCTCCAGCACATACCACTTGTTTTTGTTTTTAGGTTCCATCAAGTTGCTATCGACTCATAGTGACCCTATGTACATCAGAAAGAAACACTGCCTGGTCCTATGCCCACCTCACAGTCATTGCTGCGTTGCTGCTGTCACCATGCCAATCCATCTAGTAGGATGTTTTTCTCTTCTTCTTTGACCCTCCACTTTACCAAGCATGATATCCTTCTACAGGGACTAGTCCCTCCTAATAATACGTCCGAAGTATGAGCATTCTGGCTGTACTTCTTCCAACACCAATTGGTTTGTTCTTTTGGCTGTCCATGGTACTATCAATATTCTCCTCCAACACCATAACTAAAATGCATCAATTCTTCTATGGTCTTTCTTATTCACTGTCCGACTTTCACATGCATATGGAGATTATTGAAAATACCATGGCTTGGGTTAGAGAACCTTAGTCCTCAAACTGACATCTTTCTCTTCAGCACTTTACAGAGGACTTGTGCAGCAGATTTTCCTAATGCAATATGTTATTTGATTTCTTGACTGCTGCTTCGTGGAGTGTTGATGGTGGATCCAAGCAAATGAAGTCTTTGACAACTTCGATCTTTTCTCCATTTATATGGATGCTGTTTATTGGTCCCGTGGTGAGGATTTGTGTCTTCTTTACATTCAGATACAACCCATAATGAAGGCTGTAGTTTTGTTTTTGATTTTCATCAGTAAGTATTTAAGTCCTCTTCACTTTCAGCTAGCAAGGTTGTATCATCTGCATATTACAGGTTAACGAGTCTTCCTCCAATCCTGATGTCACATTTTTCTTCATATAATCCAATTTCTGGGATTATTTGCTCAGCATACATACTAAATAAGTATGGTAAAAGAATACAACCCTGGTGCATGCCTTTCCTAATTTTAAACCATTCAGTGTTCCATTGTTCTGTTAGAACCATTACCTCTTGGTCTATGTGCAGGTTTCACATGAGCACAATTAAGTATTTCAGAATATTCATACTTTGCAATGTTGTCCATAGCTTGTCATGATTCACACACTCAAAAGCCTTTGCATAATCAATAAAGCACAGTAAACATTTTTCTGGTATTCTCTGCTTTCAGTCAACATCCCTTGGACATTAGCAATGATATCCCTCATTCCACGTCCTCATCTGAATCCAGTTTGAACCTCTGACAGGTCTCTATCAATGTACACTTGCAGCCATTTTTGGATTATCTTTACAAAATTTTGCTTGTATGAGATATTAATGATATTGTCTGATTTCTGCATTTTGTTGGGTCCCCTTTCTTTGGAATGAGCACAAAAATATATCTCTTCTAGTCAGTTGGCCAGGTAGTTGTCGTCTAAATTCTTGGCATAGATGAGTGCATGCCACTCCTGATGATGAGTGATCGATATACAAGGGAGATTCACCAAAGTTCACGGAAAATAGAATGAAAAGATAATGGATGTTTTTCATGAAGTTTTTGAAGCCCCCTCATATTTCTTATATTAGTAAAAAGTATTAATCATTATAATTTATTGCCCTTGAATTTTTAATGTCTACTCATTAAGTTGTTTAGTAATTTTATAGGAATCAATTACCATCAGTTAAATCTGACTCAGAGTCTTGGTGTGGCGCTGTAAGATAAGCACTGAACTACTAACCATAAAAGGAGCTTTGGTAGTGTAGTAGTTACGAGTCAGGCTGCTAACCTCAAGGTCAGCAGTTTGAAACTACCAGCTGTTCCAAAGGAGAAAGATGATGCTTTCTGCTCTTGTAAAGATTTATAGACTCAGAAACCCTATATAGGTCACTATGAGTTGGAACCGACTCCATCGCACACTACCACCACCACTAATTATAAGGTTGGCAGTTCAAACCCATCATTCGCTGGTAAGCTTGAACCACTGACCTTGCATTTCAAACCATCTTTGCAGTCCAGTGCATTAACCCACAGTGCTACACCAGAACTCCAGCCCAGAGCTTAGGTAGACGATAATGAAAGTGTTATGACTTTGTATAAAACACCTTATTTAAAGCTATTTCATGTCTCCTGTATTCTCAATTGATATTGAAAGTATCAAATGTTTTATTTCAGGCTGTGGTGCTGCAGGATAAGCCTGGGCTGCTGACCCTAAGATTGGTGGTTCAAACCCACCAGTCACTGCTTGGAAACTTTATAGATGGTCGATATGAAGTCAGAACCGGCTTATGGCACTTAAACAGCAAAAAACAATTTTCCCATTTGAAATG